CTAACCCTAACTAACCCTAACTAACCCTAACTAACCTAACTACCCTACTAACCCTAACTAACCCTAACTAACCCTAACTAACCCTAACTAACCCTAACTAACCCTAACTAACCCTAACTAACCCTAACTAACCCTAACTAACCCTAACTAACCCTAACTAACCCTAACTAACCCTAAACTAACCCTAACTAACCCTAGCTACCCCTAACTAACCCTAACCCTAACTAACCCTAACCCTAACCCTAACTAACCCTAACTAACCCTAACTAACCCTAACTAACCCTAACTAACCCTAACTAACCCTAACTAACCCTAACTAACCCTACCTAACCCTGACTAACCCTAACTAGGCTTCTTTATCCTCGGCTTGATTGCTTTAAGGCGTCAGCAGTTCTGTAGGCTGTTATGTTTTGAAAGAGCAGTATCTCGATATGGTGGCGTGCAAATACCTGTCGTTGTATGCCCTATTCTTTCCAAAATCGTTGAAGCATTTGGTGCAAAATGACTGCCTGTTTGTTGCATGATTTGAAGTAGAATCCTTACATAGTTGATGCATGATTTCGAGCAGAATCGCTGCCTGTTTGGTGCATGAATTGCTGCAGCCTTGGTGCTTGATTTAGTGGTGGTGGAGGTGTCAATTTCGTGCATGTGGAGGTGCTAGATTTGTTGCCGGTAGAGGTAAGGGCTGTGGAGCTGCGGCCTGTGAAAGTGCGGGCTGTGGAGCTGCTGGCTGTGGAGGTGCGCGCTGTAGCCAAGAGGGTACTGAAGCCTTGCGAATTTGTATGTGTTGTGCGCGCAATCTTGCGTTGGGTCGGAACGCAATGCATCCATACAGGTAGAACAACCACCTCACGACGCTTGTTCTAGGGGGCAAAAGCAAGTCAACCTTACGTCCCCTATATATCAAAGGAGAAGTGCCTGAAGGGGACTGTACGGCACGTAGAACTGCATACTATAGGGGTCTCCCTGTTTTTGATGATAGGGGGCTGACCTTAATCCTGAGTTCACCCCATCAGAAATGGTTATAATGGGTATAATTGCTGCAAAATCTCTCCAGATTTGTTGCAGATTTGGTGGTGATGCAGGCACACAATTCACTGCAGAGGGTGGTGCTGGATTTGGTGGTGAATGCTTAGTGGCAGACATTCATGTTGGAGAGCAAATGGTGGGGGTGGTATTGAAATGGGCTTACGCTCGGTTGCAGATTTGCATGTTCGAGAATTTGTACGGAGGGAGTTGCGGAAGGGGTTGCGGAAGTGTGTGGTCAACCGGATTTGTATATGGAGTAGGTGAATTTCAATGGTTTGCACATCTGTAACAAAGATGCCATGATGGGGCATGACTGTGACTTCCATCATGTAGAAAAATAAAAAATAGAAACACACGAGTTATGATAGGACTTGTTCAAGAGGAAAATAGAGTTTGTTTGTTTGATTGTTTTTGTAGTCTAGGAACTTAATAATTTTAAGGGGTCTTCTCGCTAGTAAAGATCCACTGATGATGGGAGGCCAACCTGGAGCTACACCGGTTCTTTATAGAAGTCCGGTACCCTTATTCAGGTTTTTCGTTCTGACTGGCAATCTGCCTGTCAATAGTCGGGAGCACAGCGACTATTTCCTACAGAGCGGAGTTAGGAGTATTGCTACCACACTTCAGAGCATCTGCTATCCGAGTCAAATCTAGCAATCTCCGCCAGGAGCTGGTCGCCTCCTAAAAACTAACGGAAACAACCAACCAAACAACAATTGCTTATTCAATTGATTTGGGTGTTTATAAAGCGAAGTTGTGCTTTAGTAGCTTGGGTCACACTCTCACTCCCCAAAGGTGCAGCGGGGTCAAATAGAAGGATTCCGGCGGTTTGACGCTCCAGGGGTTATTTTTGGCGACCAAAACTTACTTTTTTTCCAACGTTTTCACAACTCTGCAAATGCTTCTCAAACAGATCGAGATACCGACCGGATCACCTCCGTCATATTAGAGCATATCCTCCGGGCCTTAGCTTGCACCTGTAGGTTTGACTTGTAAGATTCCTTACTAGCTAAAATCCCTACCTTCCATACCAACAGAGGTAGGGGCTCACCTGCCCTTGCTTTCATCCGTCGATGAAGAACAAGCTGCGGTTACCGTAAGGTCTTTTTAGCTTAACTGGTAGAACAGGTACTTTTGTAACAGCTTTATAGCGGCCCTGTTACAACACCCAAGCTTGTCTGTAGTCCGAATCCAATTCATACATGCAGATAGGTATTATATGGTCATTCTAGCACCTGTGGTATTACCAAACTTGAATCAGGTGTTGTACGCTCGATGCACCACCTGGAGCAGTTCCCAATCAGATACTGTACCATGGTTCTAGTACTGGTAGCATTGTTCAGATCGCAACTATATGGTGGTTACAGAACTTGAAACTACACAATTTGTGTCACTGCTAACCTCAACATTGAGCTCACTTCCCTAAATTTGCAGAGACACACTTGTCAAATGAGTCCTGTACGGGGCGATTTTGCAGAGGCAGAGTTGTCAAATACCTCCCGTATGGGAGCATTTTGCAGAGTCAACTGCGTGCACCTGGCTCTCGTACGGGGCAATTTTGCAGAGGCAGAGTTGTCAAATACCTCCCGTACGAGAGGATTATGTAGAGGTAGAGTTGTCAAATACCTCCTGTACGAGAGGACTTTGTAGAGGTAGAGTTGTAAAATACCTCCCGTACGGGGTGATTTTGCAGAGTCAACTGCCTGCACCTACATCCTGCACCTACATCCCGTACGGGGTGATTTTTCAGGGAATTTTCTGCGCACACCTCCCGTACGGGAGGATTTTGCAGAGTCAACTGCGTGCACCTGGCTCTCGTACTGGGTATGCACATGGGTATGCACCTGGCTCTCGTACGGGGCCATTTTGCAGAGTCAGAGTTGTGAAATACCTCCCTCATGGGGCGACTGACTGGTCAATGCGACTGACTGGTCAATGCGACTGACTGGTCAATGCGTTGACACCCCTCTGTCCTACGCCACTTTTGCTAAACCAATCATCATCGGTCTCCTCCACACGCTACAATTTGCAAAAAGCTCGCTATCAGTTTCTACTGTATGGGGCTTCTAGAACAAACGCCGCCCTGAACCGATCCCATACGGGCTGTTGGCGGAGCAAAGCTCTTACAATCACTACCGTATGCCATCTTTAGCATGGTCAGTTTCATTGAGTACCTCCTGTATGCCGCCTTCAGCAGAGACGGTGGCCTGGACACTTCACTGTACGGTACTTTGTAGATATGTAGTGGAATTGAGTTCCTCCCATACGCCGCCCTTAGCAGAGGTTGTACCTTGAGAATCTCCCCGTGCAGGATCTTTTGGCAGAGGTAGTGCCTTGGGAATGTTCCCGTACACTACCTTTTACCACAGTCAGCGCTATCGAATACCTCCCATACGGGATTTTCAGCAGAACCAGTGCCTTCGGATACCTCCCGTACGAGACCTTTTGGCAGAAACAGTGCCATCGCATGCCTCCCATACGGGACTTATTAGCCGGATCAGTGTCATTGGATACCCCCCGTACGTCATGCCTTTTACGATTGTTCGAGATTTGACCATTTTAGGCCTAAAATCTAGCCTTAAGCCGAACCCCACACCACCAAGAACGGGTATAATACCATAAAGTGGCCCAAAAGGGGGCTCTTTCCCTTCCTTGAGCGGTATCTTATGATCACAGGGGCGACGTGGCGGCATCCCGTTAGCGAATTCTTCGTCCATCATTTTATGAGATCTCTTATACCAGGTTGGGACTCGGTTCCTCCAGTCTTCCTTAGGGGCCTCGCCCATTATTTGATCTATTTCCTCAATAGTTGTACTAAAGATTTGGAGTTTGTCCCTTCGAGCAAAGCGACAAAGAGCAGCTGAACTGACGAGGTGAAAACGGGGCGGTGGTGCAACCCCTCTAATGGGAACGGGTATCGGGGAAGAGTTGCACTTGCGTTTGCAGTATTCGGAGTCGAACAGTATGCTATTGTCCTTAAACCGTAATGTTGCGTCGTGCAATTGAAGCCAGGGGATTCCGAGGACGAGTGGATACGAGCCGAGTTTGGTGACGAAGAAAGGGGTAGTTTCATGGTGGGAGTCAATGGAGAGCGGCAGATAGCAGAGGTGGGTAATTTGTCCGGAAGATATGGGCCGACCGTCGATGACTTCAAGAGTGCGGGGTGATTTGAGGGGGAGAAGTGGGAAGTTGTTATGGCGCGCAAATGTTTCATCAATGAATGCGAATCCGGAGCAACCGGTATCGATCAGTGCGTGAGTTTGAATGGATGTTTTATTGTTTATAATTTTACAAGAAGCAACAAAATGATCCCCATCCAATTTATCCTCCACAGACGATACCGAGAAGCCAGAGATAGAAAACGCAGACAAAGGAGAAACATTGGAAGGTCCCGGGCAGGGGCCATTAATCAAGCCCGGGACTACTGAAAACCCGACTCAGAGGAGGCGGGACTAGCGGCCGGTGGAGCAGCGGGGTCGACGGCCGTATGGCTGGGTGCGAGGAGGGCGCCTCTCATCACCGGTTGGTTACCGCGTAGGCGATTGGCAAAGGGGCAGCTGGCAAAGACATGACCGGGGTTGGCACAGTACATACAGAGATTGTTGTCCCTTCGCCATTGCTTTTCGGCAGCAGAGGTTTTACGTTGTCCATTGACAAAAGTGTATCGTTGTTCGGCGGCAGGGCGTTGAGTGGGACGGCTTTGGAGAGCGGAGAGGTCCATTGGGGCGAGGCCTCCGGCGGTATGAGATGGGTGTGCGACAGCAGCGGGGGCGGTGAATTGTCCCATTGTATTCCGAATTGCCCGTTGTTCAGATTTGCGGCCCCGAACCTGGTTATCGATTGTCATCAACATGGTGGCATAGGCTTCGACGGTATTAGGCCTGTCTGTCCGGTATGTCATAGCGTCCTTCAGGTCTTCCGACAGTCCTTCAGCCAGGGCATCGATCTTGGCTCCCTCGTTGTAGTCTAGGTATGCCACGATGCGGAGGAACTGCGAATAATAGGTAGCGAAGTCCCCTTTGCCTTGCTTCAGGGCAACGAGTTGGCAGCGGGCGGTACCCCGGGGGTCTGGGTCTCCAAACGAGGCTTCCAGGTGGGCAACAAAGGCAGTGACGGAGGAGAAGGGGGCGGCAGGGTTAGCGTTAACGAGCAGAACGACCTGGTCAAGGGCCCTTCCTTCCAAGCGGCTGACGGCATAAATAACCTTTGCTGCCTCGTTTCGGAACCGATCGTGGTTGACTTCAAGTTTCATTCGAAGTTGGGTGGTGAATCCGGGGGGCTTGGTGCGGGTGCCATCGAATTTTTCGGTGTCTGGGAACTTTTCGGACCTGAAGGCGGGGACAGGAGCAGGTGGGGGAGCAGCGGCAACGGGGACCGCGACGGTAGGGGTGGGGGCAGCGCGGGCGACATTGAGGTCGAGGTTGAGCTGGTTTATCTGCTCCTCGAGGTTGTCGATGGTTTCATTGGCGGCCGTGAGTTGTGTATGAAGGGTGTCCCTTTGGAGGCGGACGCGCAGTACGAGGGTGGCGATGTTGTCGAATAGTTCAGCAGGGCCGGCCTCATACATCTGCCTGAATTCCTCTACATCTTTGGGTGCATTTCATGCAGGTGGGTCGGAGGTGGACATATCGTACGGTGCGGATGACGACGCAACGTAATCTCAAGGGGGTGAATAGCGAGTATTCCGCAGGGTACGAAGAGTGTAATAGGGGACGATAGGGGAGCTCGCAATAGGGGTGCTACGGAGCTCTAGCGTTGGTAAGGTTCGACGAGACGAGGAGAAAGCGAGGCGGTGGTCTTCTTAAGGAAAGAAGAGGACGATGATATTATATAGTAATAGACAGCGTAGATACAGAAGACGTTGCGTAAAGAAAGAAGAAGAAGAAGAAAAAGACAAAATACAAACAAAACCCCCCTTAATATACTCAAGGAAATCCCAACGATGACAAATCCAACCTGACTCATACATTAACAATCAACGGAACCCGGTAGAACCCACTAGAACCTTTCTGACTAATCCGACTCTTCATAACCCCGTACCTCCACTAGTCGATCCATGAAAGAAACATATGGAAGCTCCACGGGCTACCCACACACGTCACCTCCGACCGCGGTACACAATTTACAGCCAAGTTTTGGAAGGCTCTTTGTAAACACCTCGACATCGAAGCAAGGATGTCTACCGCCTTCCACACGGAGACCGACGGCCAAACCGAAAAGCTGAATGCTGTAATGGAGCAATATCTACCTGGGTATGTCTCTTATCAACAGGATGATTGGGTAAAATGGCTTTCTATGGCAAAATTCTCTGCCAACAATCAGGTCTCCGCATCCACCAAAGCTACACCATTCTTCGCGAACTATGGTTTCCACCCCCGGTTTATAGTGACGATTAAATCGCTTGACAGGACCCCACCGAGTCTCAATGCTAAGCACTTCGCCTCGAAGATGAAAGAACTCCACGAATACCTACATTCCAACATCCGTACGGCGCGGGATCAACAAGAGCAGGCCGTCAATACTAAACGAACACCGGCTCCATGGTACGATATCGGCGATATGGTGTTTGTTTCAGCAAAAAACATCCGAACCACGCGTAACTCCCGGAAGCTGGACTGGAAGAAACTGGGACCGTTCCCAGTTAAAGAAATTATATCGCCATACGCATATCGAGTCGACCTACCTAGAAGTATGAAGATGCACCCCGTCTTCCATGTATCATTGCTAGACTCCGCTGCAAATGATCCTGTCCCGGGGCAAATTCAACCACTACCCCCACCTATTATCATCGAGCAGGAGGAGGAGTATGCAGTCGAGGAAGTCTTGGACTCGCGAGAAATACGGAATAATGGCCTGCAATATTTTGTTAAATGGACAGGCTCTACCGACCCTACCTGGGAACCCGCTACATACCACGAAAATACCGCCGCCGTTGATATCTTCCATACATGATACCCCAACAAACCTGGACCGTTGGAAGGAAAGATTAAAGTTAAGGCTCGCAGGAGCTCACGCTTGAAGGGAGGGGCTACTTTCATGGATCGACTAGTGGGTACACACGGTTACGAAAAGTCGGATTAGTCAGAAAGGTTCAATTGGATTCTACCGGGTTCTGTTGATCGTTAATGTATGAGTCATGTTGGATTTGTCATCGCTGGGATTTCCTTGAGTATATTAAGGGGGGTTTGTTTGTATTTCTCGTTTTTCTTCTTCTCCTTCTTTCTTTACGCAACGTATTCTGTATCTACGCTGTCTACTGCTATACAATATTATCTTCCTCTTCTTTACTCGAGAAGACCACCGCTTCGCCGTCCCCTTGTCTTATTTGACCCTTACCAACGTAGAGTCCCTTAGGACCCCTATTGCGAGTTCCCATACCGACCTCCAATACCATCTTCGTACCCTGCAGAATACTCCCTACTCGCCTCCTTGAGACCTGACTAACATTGTTTTACAACAATTGTGCATGCAAATCAAATCATAGCAAATTATACCAACAAATCTCAATTCCAATTCTGATTCACTTTCTGTTCCCATTGATATTTATACCTATCAAGTTTTCACAGACAGTAGTAACCAATTTCACCTTTAATGTCTCCTTTACATTCTGTTCCAATAGATATGCAAATATATCCAGCGATTCAATATTGCTCAGTAGTTTCTGAAACAATAATATGATACAGCCCGAAGACTGGTAATTGCAAGGTTTATGGTTACGTATCTGAATTAGAATGTAGGACGGAATAATGGAGTGACACTTTTCTATCTGTTTTCCTCAGGTCATGTTATTCTGTTGATACAAAATACAACTTTCAGTCAAAATGGAATACATCAATGTGAATTTGGTAGTGGTTGAAAACTGTTTGTGGGTAGTTAGGGTAAGGAGCGTTCAAAATTGAGTTTGTTATATTTACAAAATACAATCTTCAGTGAAAATAAAATACATCAATGTGTATTTGCTGGTGGTTGAATCCTACTTGTTGGTGGTTAGAGTTACAATCGTTGTAAGCTGGTTTGGTTAGCTGTACAAAATACAATCTTCAGTCAAAATGAAATACATCAATGTGTATTTGATTGTGGTTGAAACCTGGTTGTTGGTAGTTAGGGTTATGAGTATTGAAACTTGGTAAAGCGGTGACCTGGAGTACAGAATCCGAGTGAGTGTAAGAAGACAGAGCGGAGACAAGTAGTGGGATTCACTAAATGAGTTAACCTGAAATTCAGAATCCGAAATTTATATATTCCATTGAATTAAGGGATGGGGAAACGCGGTATCATTGAATCTCGAGCGCCGTTAGGACTGTTTGCTCGAGATGGTCTGTTCAGTACTATGCAGTCATCGATCATTGTACCAGCTCGGTGTGTGATGGTGCCGGGAATGAACCAAAACAGGTTGCCTAAAACTCATAGTAAGTTACCCTACTCAACAGCCCCTAACCACCACCTCCGCCTCTACAATTACGACTATGACTCCCTATATGCGTATAAATGATAATGGGAATAGACTTGGGTCATTTTGTTCAACCTACAGCTATGGAGCGGGGAATTGTGCTGCGACAGTTCTCAGGCAATCGCCAAATCCTATCTGAGATTGCCCTACTAGACTGCATCAATACATAATATAGAATAGAAAATACTCTGGAGACTTGGTAGAGAATGTATTTTTAAATTTTTGAATAATAACATACGCAACAGTAATGTCGGGTATAATCAGGATGTCAGATGTCTCAGATTACTCAGGTTTATCTCACTTTCTCGTCTTGGTATTCACAAAAAGGCAGTAATAGATATAACTTCAACTGTATAATGATATATAACCAGAAAAATAAATATAACTTCAACTGTATAATGATATATAACCAGAAATCCGGACTAAAAGGACTTTTTGGATACTATTCTGATGATTGAGAGTGTTCTTAGTTGTAGGAATGAGAAGATAACTAAGATGCGGGTTTCACTACTTACACCAGTACTGTTTCCTGGAAAGCAGTTATATACCACTGAGCAAGTTGATCAAACTGAATATAGAGGCAGCGGAAGAGTCCAAGTCTTCGTACTCCGATGTGCTACTACTATCAGGTTCATCCAAAGGCTCGCTAGAGATTACAATCTTGACCTTTTTTGCGTTTATTTCTTTATTGTCCGATTTGAAAATGGAACTCAAGGTAGGTTTTGTCGGAAGCGGTGGAGTGGTTTTTTTAGGTCATCAATATTTTTTCTTTACCTCCACTGCATTTCTCTTCCTTATCTTTTCTAACTCTTTGTTTTCTAATATGGTCCGTAATCTCATATCATGGCCCGACCGTCCCCACCCGCCTTGCCATCGAAAGCTGTGCGAAATCGTGTCATTGAGTGAAGCATGGGGATGACATCGGTCATATAAAATGGATAAGAAGGTGCTCGGAAGACACAGTACGCACTAGGTGACTTGGTTTAGGATTGCGGGAAGAAGGATCCGGATCGATTATGGGAATTCGTTATGTTCACTTGATATTTCTTTAAGTTTAGTTGCTAGGGTTAGGTATCAGATTTCTCTTTGAGGTTTATATTCGGAGCTTCGTCCCCTCTCTCTGTACTTCTCTTTCTTTCTTCTTTATACAACATCTTCATTTTGATTGTTAGGAATATATTCTACTCGATTGGTATTCAGTACGGTCTCACATCCAAGTCCAAGAACGTATCTGAGTCAATTCTAGACTCGGTGTTTATTCTAGAATCCTGTCCTAGAAAGCTGTCTCATTATATCTTATTACTTCCGCATCAGTAATAGCCTGAGCTTTAGACAACAGGCATCGGTCTGTCCTTACAGCCTTTTTTCCTTCATACTTTGTTCTGATATACCTCAATTGAGTTTTCGCAATTTCAGTTTCCGTAAATGCTACTTCTGCTTGCTAGGAAACTCGGAGTACAATAGCTACATACTCTTCATGTGACACGGCTTGGACCGGTTCGTATTTTCTTTTCCCATTAGGATTAAGAGCAAATTGAGTCTCTTCATGTAATTCTCGTCGATTCTTTGGAGTGCGCAAGTCATGGTTTAGGAGAACATTGGTGGTTTTAGGTGTTCTAGTATTTTGTTTGGTTGGCCTGACTTTGCTGAGAACTTTGTCTGAATTGAGTGAGGAAATGCTTGTGGCCTGAAACAATTCTTTGATAGTTTCCTTTGTTTACGCCTTTGATGTAGCCTCACCAAAAAGGACTAGAATTTTCCTTTGGTGATTCTGGTACGGGATTCTCTGATATGGGTTTCGGTCGCCTTTCTATAATAATGCTATAAAGGGCCGAATGAAGCAACATCTAAGGGTTGTAGGAGACCTGTTGAATGGGCAGGGAGGCAGAGAAGGTATAAGTTGTGGGAATGAGTTTATACAGAGAAGTGCCAAGTAAGGTGTCATCCCTGGCCATCGAAAATACGCAGTCGCGGCCTGCCTTCACTAATCCGAGAGGAATCGACATAAAAGTACCCATTCAACCATCTAAATTCTATCTTATCGTCTGTCCAACCATTTTCACTGAAGGCCAAGAGTGCTTCTGGGTCTTCGGTAGCTGTATACGAATCTATATCAT